ATATATATATATATATATATATATATATATATATATATATATGTATATATATATATGTATATATATGTATGTATATATATATATATATATATATATAGACAGACTCTGGCTCTTTCTATAGCGCGTTGATCTTCTTCTTCTGCTCTTCTGAGTGCCTCTGCCTCTGCTATTTGTTTTTTTTTTAGTTTTTCAATTTCTTTTGCTCTTTCATCGATTTGTTTTTTTAACTCGACCATATGTTGTATTCTTTTTGCTTTTTCTGCTTCTCTTTTTGCCTGTTCTGCTGCTGCTATTTCTCTTTGTGTTGCTGCTACTCTATCGAACTCTTTCTTCTCTGCTACTGCTGTCTCAACCAGTTTCATCATCTTCTCTTGGTGCTGCTGCAGCCTGGCTCGCGCTAACTCATCATTTAATTTTCTTTGTCTTGCTGCTTCGGCTTCTTCTCGCTGACGCTCCACACGCTCTCTCTCCTCCATTGCCCTGCACCACACAGATATATATATATATATATATATTATTTTATTATTTATATTATTATTTTATTGTTTAGATTGTTTTTATTGTTTGTTATGCGTTGGTTGTTATATAATAATAATAATAATTTCCTCCTGCTGTTATTACATTTCTATATTGTGTCTAAGGTGTATACATAAACATATCTGTATATATATAAATATATATATAAATATAAATATATATATAAATATATGTACTTATACATATATATATATATATATATGTATATATATATATTTCTAGTGTATACGTTGTATAGACCTTCTGGCTCTGAGAGCATCTAGCTGTGCCGCTTTATCTATTTCTCTGTCTTGCTTAGCGTAGATAGCGGCATATCCTTTTTGTTTTGTTGCTTCTTGCTGCAACCTCTTCTCTTCTTGTTCTTTTTCTCTCGCGTTCTTCTCTTGCTGGTACTTCAGTATCTTTTCTTCTTCTAGTTGCTCTAATGCTGCTCGCTGAGCTTTCTCTATTAAAAAAAAAAACAAA